CGTGGTAGAGCAGCAGCTGAGCAAAGGGATAAAGTTGTTGCTAGTCTTTTGGACTAGTCTCATTGTAAGCAGAGATTGAGATTGAAATTATTATTGATTTATGTTTTCTTTTATTTGTTATTATTGTTTTCTTGTTTTATTTGATTATTTGTGATATTGAATAGTATTCTACTATTCAATGGGGGGTGTGTGTGAGGATTTATGAGTGATTTATATTCATTGTGCTTATTGATTGTCAGTTATTATTAATTATTAGTTCATTATTATTCATGAATGCATTTTGTATATAAGAGAGTAATTTTTGTGAGCCATTTTGGCAGTGTGTGGGCAATGTGTAGAAGTGTGTGAGCGTAGTCTGAGTGTTATTGAGTCGTTGGGAGATAGTGTGGCACTATCTATCTTTATTTGATATTATTGTTTGAACCAGTAAAGCTGGTATATTATTTGAAAGAGATTCTGTTGAAATATATATTTTATGAAATTGATAGCGAGCCCTGCATTGGCGAGCTAACTAGTGAATCCTGAGTTGAGCTGACTACTAAGGAAGCAACTATATAGACGGGCTGGACGGCATCCCCGAATCTATACAGAAGACGCCGTGACAGAAACTTTATTATCAGGACTCCTGTTCTTGTTATATTACCGGTATTATACATCTTGCACGAGCCACAAGGGGTAGATTGGTAGAAGGCCCCTAGCGCCACACCTTTCATTACTGTGTAGGCGGTTCAGACGTAGATTTTATGACAAAACTAGGTTCTACTGCAAAAAAAACAAAGTGATTTTTGAAGATCCTTGATAGTTGTTAAAATCACCATTGTATGGAAAATATTCCTTTTTTGATTAATACATGTATTAGATATGAATATAAAAGGGAGAAAGAGAAGGTGCATAATAGCTTTGATCCAATGATCCTCTTCTTAACTTCATCATATGAATTAATCTTCCCTAGTTTAAGATGTTACAATTAACTGCAACTATCATAGTTTCTAGTAAATTACTAAAAGTCCGACTGGCTGTATCTTTATGCTCTAAATTATTAATTGTTGGAAGTGGTACTGTATATTGGACTATTTTGCATCACGTGATACCAATGGAATGTGAACTGCGCTCAAAGTTCAAGTTTCATGAAAATTTGTCCTACCTCCTCTCGGGGTAGGCTGCATAGCCAAGCTTACTGTTGTAGTAGAGTTGTTATAAGTGGTCTCACTTTTGCATTCTCTCCTGTTGTTATAGTTGAACTTTCACTTCAACCAAGCAACATTGTTGCAAATGGTCATCCCCTCCCTAGTTTTGTTAAATTTTACATTGTTTAGCTAGCTAAGATTCATAATGTCAACTCTCTCATCATTCAGTATATAGACTTTATTAAGATAGGCACCCTTACAATAGATTTAGAATGATTATAATAAATTTGTAGAGCCTCAGTGTTTGGCTTCGGCAAAAAGTCCTCAAAATGCAGTAATTTATTTGCATACATTATGCATGACTGCATGAGGAAACCCCTGGAATATGATAGGCTTAATTGCAAAATTAAAGCACGTGTTGCACTGTGAGCTATATTATAGATTGAGTCCTTGTCGCCATCACTGAAAAGTTTCAGCCCTTTCTTCACTGTATATACACACACTGGTCTCGACATGATGAAAAGAGGATACAAGGTAATGTCATACTTTTTATTGCCACAAAGTCTCACTTGCCTCTCACTTTCCATTTAGAAATAAATTGCTTTGAAGCTAATCAAGCTTTTAGTACACAAAAGAAGTTGCACTGAATGTAAGTGCTTTTTTGTAAAAGAAATCAAAGTGATAGGACTCCACCACCACCTAGTAGTGGTAGTGCCAGGTGAGTGAAACTGATTTATTGTATAATAGTTTATGGTATATATATATATAGTGCTATGATCTTAGTCTCAAATTAACTTTTGAGTACCACTCACAGGCACTCAGTCTAGAGAGACGACACTCACTTATTATATTCAGGAGCGCATGTTGTAATACTCAGTGAAAACCATTTAATCAGTGAGAAAGATAATATAGTACATTAATTTTAATTCTCTGGCAAACAATTTTATTGCATTATTTTTGACATTTTTTCTTAGATCAAAGGCCTCAAGAGTTAAAGAACTTCTTATGTACATAATATGTATAATTTTTTTTTGAAAAAATAATTGTAAGCCAAGATGAGTCACATTATTAAATTTGTCACATTATTGTCCATTCTTGACTTCTTGGACACATCATAAAATCCTCATTTTCTTAATTGACATTCCTATACAGGATAGGCAAAATGAAGTGGTTGTTAGAATGTATTATGTAAAGGTGAGAAAATACAACCTTTTGTGGCATTATAGGCCCTCCCGTAAGCATATAGAATTAATTTTTCAGCCTATGACATGCATGACTTCTGTCACTTTTTTTCGATTCACTAACCCTTTCTTGACTCCACTTTATGATCTTTGACTGTTCATCTGATTTCAAAGTTCAATGCTTCAAAATCTCTAAGGTCAATGATTTACCTAATGAAATCAATACTGAAATTATTATTACATGTGCTGTATAGTGTATCTTGTACATACTTAACACATGTAAATAGTTAACAGATGCAAGTAGCTACATGTAGGACTAATCTAATGGAGTGATAGTTTGTGAAGCAAGGCAGATCTTGATGTCTCAATTGTGAAAAGTAGTGGAGAGCAGCTTCAAAGGCTCTCTTTATTTATTGCTTAAAAATGATTAATTAATACAAGGGAAATAGGTTCGTTAAGTGTTAACTCTTTGTATACATCATGGTTCAACTATAAAAATAAAGTGCATCCTTGTTTATATAAATTACCACATGTTTACACAAACTTTCCACAATTTAAAACAATGAGACTACTTTTACACAAAAAAAAATAATGTAATATGTATAAGCTCCATCAACTTCTTTGCTACAGACTCAGCATCAATACTCTTTAACGGGAATGCATCTGGATATCTAGTGGCATAATCACAAAAAAACAAGGATATACTTGTTTCCTTTGTTACTCTTATCCAATGGTCCTACAATGTCCATAGCTATGCGCTTGAATGGTGTCTCAATGATTGGCAAGTTTACTAACTGTGCTCTTGGTACATATCTCCTTCCAGCTGTACGTTGACATTCTGGACACGTTCGACAGTAATTCTTGATCTGAATCATCCCTGGCCAGAAAAATCTCTTAGATATTCTTGCCATTGTCTTTATCTGTCCCAGATGTCCCCCCATTGGTATGGTGTGTGCTATTCGCAGTACTTCCTTCCTACACTCTCGTGGTAATACTAACTGTTTCCTCTCAATTCCTTCTCTTCTTCTTGTTACTCGATACAGCAGTCCCTTCTGCTTCTCAAACCTTGCTCCTTGTTGATCATCTTCTGTTCCTTCTGCTAGTTTCCGTATCTTCTCTAACGTTTCATTTTCACTTTGTAATTTCTCTAACTCCTCCTGTCCTGATGGCATGTCCTGATGGCATGTCCTGCCACTTCTTCATACAGCTATCACTCTGCCATAGCTGCTTCTCCTTCCTCTTCTGTGACCAAGTCTTCCTATTTCGTCCTGGTTTTGCAAACATCTCATCATCTATAAATTCTAATCCACTCATCTCTGGC